GATAAATTTGGCAGATTTCGATGAACTAAGATTAGAAATTTCCAGCTTTTAATCACTGTTCTGCTGAATGGATTATTTCTCAAGGACATTCTCTCTCGCTCTCTCTTGGAATTTTATTGCTGAATATAATCACTTTGCAGTCCCTCCCTATGTTCGGCAAACACCAGCCTGCTTCATGTCAGTAGGTGAAGTTTCAGCAATTTTGTCCCCACTCTCCGGAACTCCATCCTGGAGTCCCTCCACCTTGCTCCCCTCCGACTCGCCTAGGCACTTTTCTCTTTGACTGCACTTTTGGTCATCTTCTCTCCCACCACCCCAACCTTCCTCAGATCCCTCCCACCCCCAACTTGGGCCCCCAGTTGGCTCTGTGAAGACCTTTGTGATGCCTTATCACATCGATGAAACATCTCAAAGTGGTCCACAAGATTTACCGTAGTCAGAAGACTGTATTTTGTAGGCCACTGTATTTTTATTCATTTCATAAATCTCTAACTGCTTGTGTCCTTCAGCTATTAAACAACTTATTTTGTGGTTCTGTAACTGTATTGCACTGGCTGCCAAGTTATTGATCAGTGATGAATTATTCATAATCATTCCTTGGGTATTACTGATATTATTTCACAGAAAGCCTTTAATCTCACCTTGAGCTTTCTTATCTTAACTTTTTTTGTACAGAAGAAAGACCATATCACTGAGCAAGTGTAGATTGGTGTATGAGTACGAGATAATCAGGGACAATCTGGAGGTTTTGCTCCAATACAGAAAAATATTAATAATAATCATCCATGCAGTTGATAACATCTCATCGCATTATCAAAACATCTCAAAGTACTTCACAGAATTTTATTAATTGTGAAGTGCAGAGATTGTAATATGTAGGCGAAAGCAGCAATTACTTTGTGCATTAATTTCCTACAAACTGCTAAGAAGTGAATAGCTAATTTTATCTGGAGGATAGTTAGCTAGGACATCAGAAGCAACTACCTTCTTTTTTCAAATAGTGCCATGGGATCTTTAACAACCACCTGAACAGGCAGACAGGAACTTTGTTTAACGTTTCATCCGAAGGATAACTCTTCCAACAATGCAGCACTCTCCCAACACTATCCTGGAACTTCTGCCAAGTCCTGACATGTGGATTGAACCTACAATCTTCTGACTCAGTGGCAAGAGTGCTATAAACCAGAATAACCCTTCAAAGAAATTGAGAAAGGAAATGAAATTCAGATACTGAGTAAAAAATCATTTTCTGTTGGGAGTCTGAGAGTACTGAAATGCACCACATGTCACTGTATGTATTTATAATTTACAAAACAAAATCTATTCTGCATTTTAAAGTACCTCTTTTTGGTATTTGAAACCAAACAGGAGAACTCCTACATAGCAAGAGACCACAAGACCCATATTTCACACAGTGGGGTAGAAAATCTAACCAAGTCCAGATTTCTATATTTGTGTGACATTTTAGAACATCCAAAGTTTGACAAATCCTTAAACACAGCCTTAATTTTGAAGCAAGTTTCTTTGAATTTCTTTTAAGAATCACAGGAAACCGGCATCAAAGTGAATTCACAGCGCTATCAGGCACAGGAAGTTAACATTATTGGGGGTAGACAGCACCACAAATACAATTGAGAGTGAATTTAACAATTTGCCAAATTCTGGATTCTCTAAGATGCTACATGAATAGGTCTTTAAACCTTGGACAGGAAATGAATGTGTCTCTCCTCTCGCTAATTTTAAGTTAGTATTTAGTGGGTCATAATTCTAGTTGAACAAATTATTTTATAATCAATTTATATATATCAGTTACATTTTTAGACAAAATATGACAGATTTGAATGAAACAAACTGTCGAGATCTGCACGTTTCAATTAACTATCTCACTGGATGTAATACTGTATATGTCAAACACAATATCTCTCTTAGAATTTTATTGCTGTATTTTCACATTGATAAGCTAACCCATAGTAGGTGAAAATTCCAACAAAGAAAGTTTATAAAATTCCAATGAGCATAGGTGCAATTTGCAACAAAATTATTGTTTGTATAATATGAGGCATTACAGCTATTTTAATACCAATTTATGGCACTATCAGCATCAAAATGGGCAACATCACAAATAAAAGTGGAAGAACAGAAGGCCATTCAGCCATTTTATTAATCATGGCAGAACTTTTATTTTCATTCCTCCAGTTTATACAGTAGAAAGTATCCAGCAGTATTCACTCAGTATTGTGGTTAGATCAACTCCAAGGCTGATTCAAAGTGCTTGCACCATTAAAGAGCCTTTAGTAAAATAATGTTGGTCCCTAGAGCCTAAATATTAACACAATGTAGTAACAGGATGTTTTGTTGCTATCCTCCAAAGCAGACTATCTCATCTAGTATTGCAGCTTGGGCAGTATGGCAGGAACATTCCTAGAACTCATTATCTATGGAACTGTAGTTCAGACTACGGTGCCAATGTAAGTACAGATTTATCTTCTCTGCATGACTTATCATTGATACTGAAGAGTGCATGGAGTCCCGCAGACTGGGATTGCCTCATCAGAGACAGCAAGCAAGAGAGCACCCAGCCTCATCTCTTGGATCAAACCCAGTTGGCTTGAAACGGACTGAAATGACAAGTTTAATTTACAATTGACAAATTAACTTAAGTGCATTTGTGTAACAAAAAAATCTAAAAGGGACAACATTGATAAATCAGGCGCAAAGGAAAAAAAGATTTTATTTAGTCGTTAATCAAACACTACACCACCCAGAACTGTGCAGCTCATCTTGTCTCCTCTCCGAACCAGACTCCACAAGCCTATCACATCCATCCTTGCTCTGCTCCAATGGCTCCCCATCCCCCAGCAGATGGAATTCAAGATCCTTGTACTCGTTTTCAAATCCCTGCATGGTCTACCTTTATGATCTCCTGCAAACCTAATGCTCTGGCTGCTCCCTCTGCTCAATGAACACTGGTTTGCCCCAGCCCCACCTGAGGATGTTAATAAACCTGGTGCCAGTGGACAGGGAGAGGTTGCTGAGGTCTGTGAGTAGGGTGGCAAGGAGATGGAGCTGGTAGGTAAGGAGAGGAGCAGTGATGGGGTCGAGGGAGCAACTGGTGGGTTTCATGCAGGTTATAGTGGTGGTGAGTGAGGAGGAGGAGACAGGTTCGAAGGTGTGGAGGGAGGGATGGGTAGGTGCTGGAGTGTGAGCGGGAAATGGGGAAGGGATGGCGGTTGAGAGGGTGGAGGCGGCTGAATGGAACCCCTCGATTTTGGTCTTGAGGAAATCCAGCATCTCCTCACAGTTGGGAGTTGGAGGTGAGGATGGGCGAGGAGTGAGAGGGTGGGTGGAGGAGCCTGTTGGTGATGGAGAAGAGGAGCTGGGGTTGTTCTTGGCCTCCAAGATTATCTTGGAGTAGAACGACGATTTAGTGGAGGCGAGGTCTTTGTTAAGTCGTAATGTCTGTGTAAGAATTATACAGCACAAAAGGAGACCATTTGGCCCATCGAGTCTGTGCCGAAAGCTAGATAGATACTCGGTAGTATCAGAGATATGGAGAAAGGGTGGGGAAATGGAATTGAAGAATTGGCATAAAATTAAGAGGGGAGTCATTCACTTCCTGGTTGTTTAAGGGACGTTGCACTGCACAAATTGGCTGCTACATTTCATATTCATCCACAAATACACACTCATCTTTACAGAAAAGTCTGTGAAGTGCTTTCAGATATTTGACATAATAAGGCGCCAAATAAAATGAAAGGATTATTATTTTAATTATTCTCTTCCCCACTGCACCAGAAATCTAAAAATGTCTTGTGTTTTACTGTTTGCAGAATACTTCAGATGGTTGCTTTTGCTGTTCTGAGTGGCAATGTATTCTGCAGCATATATGCTGATAAATTTGTACCAGTTACCAGTTTTTCAAATCCTTTCACTCCCTGGCACCTCCCTACCTCTCCAACCTCCTCACTCCCCAATCCACCACACGGCGCCTCCGCTCGACTGGCACCGGCCTCCTGCTCATCCCTCGCACCCTCCGCCCCACTATCGGAGGTCGCGCTTTCAGTCACTATGCCCCAAGACTCTGGAACACTCTCCCTCAATCCCTCTGCCTTGTCACCTCTCTCCTCTCTTTCAAGTCCTGCCTGAAAACTTTCTTCTTCGACCGTGCTTATGGCTACCTCCCCCACCAGCTTGGAGACAGGCTGTTAAGCGCTCTGAGACCCTTGGGGGCGCTATATAAGTGCTATATAAGTGCAAGGTGTTGTTGTTGTCGTTGCAGTTAAGATGCAGCTAGCCTGCAGTTCCTTTAACACAGAAAAAAAGTGTTGAACTGATGTTAAATGTGCGGCATGAATAGGGTATTAATTTTTCAATAGCAATTTACACTCACAGTTAGTTTCTAATTTATGTAGCTGATCTGGAAAGAGAGATCATGCCTTGTTGTCTCAATGTGGTTAAAGATTCAGCCTGTGATGCAATTAAAAGATCACAGAATTGTCCTTTGTTAGTCTGCCAGAAATAAAGTGTCTTGCTCATCTGGAAGGTAGGCTTTGTAAACTGAGATTATTTAAGTTTGTGAATGCTTGTTACTCAATACCTTTCTTGGCAGAAAGCATTAGCTTTCTGCCTTAGCATTAGCACGAGTGAATTATGGCAAAAAAAAGCTTTTCAAAAAACAAAGATAAACAATTTCATCGAACAGAAAGCTTATAGCAAGGAAATAAATACCTTTCACTGGCACAGGCCTGAGTGTAATTACATGTATCTGCAGATTTCCCCAAGGGGAAAAGATCACAATATTTTTTGGCAGAATAGATATTTTTGGAAAATATGAATAAAAAACTATTGCACCCTCTGTATTCATGTCCTGTTTAAACACTGACTATCTGAAATGTGCTTGTACTGGGGGCAGATGAAGCCAAGAAGAAATCCCCTTACAAGTTCTCTGCAACTTAACTCCTGAACGAGTGAAGCACGATAGTCACACAGCAGTGGTTTACCTTTTTAGCTTTCGTGAGGTGTGCCCTGGCAGATTTCTTGAATGCAGCCTCCTGATCCGACTTCTCTGCTTGAAGATAACAAACCCATCCCAGCAGATACCAAACCTACAAGAAAAATACATTCTTCAGGTCATCTATTTTGCAATTGTGGGGAATTAGTTGCAGAAAGAGACCATCGATAACTTTCTGAACAAAGGCTGCATGTTGTGATGAAACGAATAGAGTCAACTCCTCAGAGAATGTAATTTGTCCCTGAACTGATCTTCATTTCAGCAAAGGCATGAGACTACTACTAGACAGGGACTGTTGTGTTGTTTGTTATTGTTCAGAATATAGATTAAATTCCACAGGATTTGATGAATAATATAAAAACTGCTTTTAATGCTATAGTAATGAGCACGAGAACATTGAGGATGAAATCCCAGAGGCTCAGGACAAAATGGCTGAAACAACAAGAACAAGATTACATTTGTATAGTGCCTTTCGCATCGGGAGGACGTCCCAAGGCGCTGGACAGTGTACAGCATTTCAGACCCGAGCTGGGGGTGGGGGGGGGGGGGGGGGAGGGGAATGGGGGTGGCCGATGGCATGGTCGAAGAGGAGGGTCTTGAGGCGGGACTTGAAGGAGGCTAAGGAGGGGGCGAGGCGGAGTGAATGGGGGATGGAATTTCACAGGCTGGGAGCAGAGTGGCTGAAGGCTCTCCCGCCAATGGTGGGGCGGGTGGGTCCGGGGACATGGAGCAGGCCAGAGCCGGCTGAGCGGAGTGAACGGGCGGGTTGGTAGGGGGTTAGCTGGTCGCAGAGGTAGGGTGGGGCGAGGCCATGGAGGGCTTTGTATGTGAGGACTAGGATGTGTAAGTCAGTCAATTGTCAGTGTAAGAAGCTGGCTAGTCAGAGCCAAAAAACAGCTGTAGCACTCTTCTGGTTAGTGCGGGTCCATAGGAAATCATTGCTGTAAGCCAAGCTGTGCTAAAATGAGAAGTGTTCTAGCAAGATGGCCCGATATGCACTCCTCTACCTTGATACCTCTCATCAATTTCTTAACCAAATACAGGACAACTGTGGATGTCCGGCACAGACTTGTCGGCTTCCTGCACTAAAAGATTACCATCCTTCAGGTTGTCAGATCGCCACTGACACAATTTCCTTCGCAGGAAGTGACTTCAGCAGCAACTTGATAACCTGAAAACAGGACAGGCAGCCATTTGTTTCCTGGACCAGTTATAAACACAGTACCTAATTATCTGAATCAGAGACAGTGTGTTTTACAGTGTGCATTGTAGTTGCCTGGTTCTGTGCTGAATTTGTTGACACATTCTGCCATAATCTTCTAATCAAAGGATCTGATGGACCATTTCACTTCTTCGCCAGTCTGTTTAAATTAATGAAATATAAACTATCTATCTATTACCTTCCCTTTCTGAGCTCGAGTCTGTGTCCCTTGTAGGTTTGTTATGTTAAGAATATTATTATAACTCAATTTATCGATACCTTTTATTATTTTAATACTCCAATAAGATCTCTCCGGAACCATATCTTCTCCAATATTTACATAATAATCTCATTGCTGTAGGTGAAACTCATAATCTTAATTCTAGTTATCAATTAATTTGTCCTTCGCTGTACTATCCCCTCCGTCAAGATGTCCCCACTGTAATGGCATGTTCTCAAGCCACAAACATACTTGATGTATGATAGATCTGGTCAGATTATTCTCGTACCTCACATCAAATAACTCAACCCCTATGGCTAATTTATTTTCTCACGGGAATTCTAGCAATAAAACATATAAAGAGCAGGATAATCATCAGCAGTGATGCCATTAACAATGGCTCTGTGTACAAAGGTGAAAGACAGAAGTACAGATGCCTTATTTGTTAAACTGATCACATCAATTTCTGATTCTGGTGACTGAGTGTACACTGGGCCACAGGAGAGTCGGCAAGTCTCATCAGGCAACTTGACTTGTTGAAAACACACCAGTCTTTTATTGGTTTTACTTTTGTTTTGAGGGAAGCATTCTGCATCTTAAATAGTTTAAGCTGTTTGGCCCTGTCAACTGCTTTTAACTGAATCATCAATCAATATATGAGTAGGTGGTAAAGTAACATCTATCATAACACTATTTGGGAGTGTGTTACAAAGTGGCAAACTAATCTACAGAATCAGAAATCAAGTACTGTGAGAACTGAATCTCAAGTGGTACATGAAGCCATCAGATCCTAAAGATTGGATAGTGTCTAAGCTTAGATTACCTGCTCTACGTATGGGATTCCTCAATTTTGAAATATGATTCAATGTCCATATTCCAAACAAATGGATTGTCATCGAAAGGGGGAAAATTCCATTTCACTGCCAAGTATAAATCCAACACCAGAATTGACCATTCTGAACAATCCTAGTATTCAGGTGCATTTCCACCGCATATTAGACAAATAGAGACCATGTGGAGAACTCTTAGTAGTTTGGTTTGGAGACTCTTAAGGATGGTGTTGATTTCTATGCGTGTGTCAGACACCCAGCTGGCCCAAAAAATCCAGAGAAAGACACATGTATACAGAAGGCGAGCGGGTCTACCAAAAAGATATTTTCGTCAATATTCTAAATACTCAATCTAGTGTGTGCAGCCTTCTTTCCCGGATTCATAATCCTCACTTCTGGAGTTGGAATTACCTACAGTAGTGACATTGAATTTGGATTTGGTGGTTGCATAAATGAGGAACAACATAGTTATAATAATGATTCGGTATATTGCCTTTCAGGTCAAACAAATGGATATATTGTGATATAAAGAAACAATTCTCTGTCTAAGCTGATTCAACTGATCATAGTTTGGAGTTCTACCATTGCTGACTCGTGGGAAGTCTAACAAGATCTCGGGTATGTGAGTTGGTGTGACATATGTGAGTTCTCCGCATTTTATATCCTGAGGCGCCTTTCATGCTCCCTGCTGGGCATCATTTATTCCACCATTCTTCTGATGAGCTCTTTTTCAAACCCAATGTCCGCTTACACTTCCCACACACAGGTCTGTGGCAGCCTTTGCAGAGTAGAGTGCCAGCAGCACTTAATGTGATGGAAGGCTGTTTCTACGTAAAACCAAGGATTATTATTATTATTAACCTCTGGAGGCAGCATCTATCAGTGCTGGTGGCAAGATAGAAAAACTCACCCACCACAAGGAGTTTTTCTTGCAGTTCAACTGGGAGCAGACAGACTGAGCTCCAAGCTCACCCGACCAAGCCAATGAAACAATGTTGATATTGCTGGTCTATTCCCAACATCTGTAAACCTCCAAAGCCAACCCGCCCATCCCTCACTCCCCACCCCCGGATAATTTGTTGTAAAATTCCCCAGCAGGTAAATACAACACTAACAACTTGCATTTATATAGCGCACTTCACGTGGGGTAGCATCCCAGAGTCCTTGTGGATACAGTGGATTCTACAGCAAGGGAGGTTCTAGCAATGCAGAACTTCTGTTTAAACACAATCCAATTTACATTTATGTAGTGCCTTTCATGTGGACGTCTTGAAGCACTCAACAATGATGGATCGGCACATGAGCTGGTGGGGGGGTGACCAAGGGACGTGGGTGCGGAAGGAGGAATGTTTTGAAACTGGCCTTGAACAAGTGGAGGGAGGGAGTGAGGGAAGGAATTGGACGCAATCAAGTGTGGAGTTCCAGAATGCAGGGGCAGAATGGCTGAAAGCCTGCCTGCTAAAGGTGGAGCAGGTAGGACAGGGGACATAACACAGGCCGATGTTTGCTGAGTGAAGAGAGCAGCGGCGTCAGTGTAGTTGAAGGACACAGAGGTAGATGGGAGCTCCCACCCTACCTTTGTGAATGTAGCTGGAAAAAGGACAGAAAAGCTGCTGGTGAGTACACCCAGACACATTGAGCTAATAGAACTATCCATCCCCAATTTTCACTGAGCCAGTGGGTTTATTTTGTATAAAAAAGAGACAATCTTTGCCCACACAGTGAATTTTTTTTTAACGCTCACAAGGATCCCTGTGGAGCAGCAGTTAAGAGGCTCTGCCTTTGTAAAGCTATGATCAGGGGTTTCATGGAGGAGCAAAAGTCCAATCTGCTAGCGGATTGTGTTTGAGGAGTTTCAGCAGTTCTCAGTGGGGCTGCTAGGCAGGATGTCCAACAAGGCTGAATAAACACACATGCCATCTGGCTCACCCTTGGAAGCTGGCTTCTTGTCAGACGTTCAAGACTGGCGCTGGAAACAACCGAGCAGCACACTACTGTGTAGTGAGCCCTTTGCGCGCTTTCAGAGAGCATCTGCAACAACCATTTTCTGTCATCTCACATTAATGCAAATGATAAAAAGCATCATTAAACAACACCACGTCCCCTCATGTGCAATATTGTTTTTGAACTTCTGCTGAAGGTAATATTGGTATTGTCAGAGTGCATCTTGTTCATAGGTAAAATGTAAGATGACAAATTTGGTTATAGTGCTCAAAGGGAAATGGAAGAATTGAATTATTATTCTGGATAAATCATTAATACTGTACCATCAGCTCAGTGCTTAGCTACTATAACAAAAAAGGAGAAACCTTGATGCCTAATAATAATAATAATAATCCTTGCATTTAATAGAATGCCTTATTTTGTTGTTGAGACATCTCAAAGCGCTTCACAGGATTTTACTGTGAAATGTAATGATTGTGTATTTGTAGGCAACAACAAGATTACATTTGTTGCAGGAGACAATTTAGGCTCAGCAATGTCCTGCAAACCTCTATGAAGTGAATGACCAATTTTATCTGGGAAATTGTTGGCCAGCATATCTGAGAAACTCCTTTCTCTTTTAAAATAGTGCTGTGGGATTTTTAACATTCACATGAACAGGCATAGACCAGACCCTGGTTTAACATTTCATTTAAAGGATGGCACCTTCGACACTGCAACACACCCTCAGCAATGCGTTTGAGTCTCAGACTAGTGAGTTCAAAGTCCAGATGTGGGCCTGGAGCACACATCTTTCTGACACAGAGGGCAAGAGGGCTACCAACTGAGTCAGGTTAGCACCTGTATATATCAGGGAGAAGGAATAGAGGGGTATAGGTGAAGGGAATGGGAGGGATGGAAGCTTGGACACTGGCAAAGACTAGTTAGGCCAAATGGCCTGTATCCATGCAACATCATTTTGCATAAGAAAAAAATGGAAATACCGATCGAACACGGACTTGGCTAGACTCGTACAAATGTTTAGGGGGTGGGGGGAGGGCACAGACAGCTGTGTTTTTAAGTTACTACGCATGAAGGTGTGGAAACTGTGCCCCTACCTCTTCTCCGCCTTTGCTGCTCTTCAGATCCCACCTGAATCCCTTAAAAAAATTGTGGTCACTCAGTCCATGATTGTTTGTGGGTAACTACTGTGCGCAATTGGCTGCTGCGTTTCACCCACAGAATATACAGTCACTTCACTTTACAGCATGTCCTGTGAGTTGTTTTGAGACGTCTCAACGACGTGGTGAGGCGCTATGTCAAATGCAAGGGTTATTCTTATTAAAACTGTGCTTTTCTTCATGTGCAGAGTGTAAACATTAACAGGCATATTTATGAACGCTTCATTATTCATCACAAATGGAAGACTCCTGGAATGTGGTTGTGGCTCCAGAAAAGCTGGAGAGGGAAAATAAGAGAAAGCAATATGCAACTGCACGGCACCTCCCGTTGGTTCAGTTAAAGTTCATGCATCTGTCTGGGAGTCGTTAAGTGAAAGTCCAGGGTCCTGGTCATAGGTGGGCCAACAAGGGAGCTCATATACTACTGGTGAGAGACTGATCCATGGTGAAATAGTGTGACTTCCAGTGTTCTACATGTCTAATTATTATTAATAATTATACACAAATATACAGTCAATTCACTTTACAGTATATTCTGTGAAGCGCTTTGAGACATCTAGAAGATGTGAAAAGCACTATATCAAATGCAAGGATTATTATTATTAGAAGGTAAGTGTTTGATCGAGTAGTACAATGAGAGCATATCTGATCTTGTGTGATCCAATGAGAAGGAAAGCGTCTGATCTCCCCAGTGGTCTAGTGAGAGGATAATTGTAGGAGGAGGAACTGGTCTAATTCTGGTTCGACCAGCCAGAGTGTCTGCACGTATAACAGAAAATCAGGACTCTGGAACTGGACTTAAATCTGAATTTAAAGGATCTGAATTCTGAATCCTCCAAATGGGAATCAGGACAATTTGTATTGGGACATTCATCTCTGGTAAATGCTAATCTGTTCAATTAACGTGTTGCAGACTTAATCTAAATATAATCCATTAATTACAACACAAACACATTGCAACATATGTGTGCAATGCTTGCAGAACTTGCCCTCATAACAGATGCTAAGCAAGGTATTATGTGAAGGAAAATTTTACCAGCATTCCTGACAATTTTGAAAAGGACCGTCTGTTTCTTATAAATATTGGCATTTTATGAGAACAGTATTGATAGCTAATATAAGAATTTTATCTGTAAATCGAGTCTTTATGCTGCAGTGGCCAAGAGTGAATAACATCAAGACAATTTACCATTGAATCACATAATTAAATAAAAAAAAGTCTGTGCAATTTATTGTTTGCATAGAGGTCTGAGTTACCATCGCTGACAGGCTCCATCAAAATCTCCATTGAGATGCACTATGTCGGTTTACCAGTACTGATGGGTAGCAGCCCAACACGTTTTGCTAAACAAGCTGTTATTTGCCAGGGAAAATAACTGACTCAAAGGATAATATTCTGAAATCCATCTATTTTCCATGAAAAAGAAACAGCGAACTCAGTTTCTTGCATCAACATGATGTGCTCAACCAGTTGACAGCAGAACTGGCACATTCCTTTCAGAGTCAGGCACTGGGACAAATTTAACGTGATGACTCGGGTATATTAAGAAAATTAAGTATTCAGAACATCTGTTGTCAATGGGCTCTCCGCTTTGTGGCAGAAAATATATGGAAAGAAATTAAACAGGCTGAAATTTGATAGCAATACGAACCAGTTCATCACTGGCATGAGGTGAAATTCATCATATTAACAAATTGTCCAAATTGGATATTCCTACCACTAATGGCATTTTCGTCACGGTTTACTGCACCTTTTGGAGAAAAAAAACAATAAATACTAAAGATTAATAGTCACCAAATGGCTGCCCACTTGGTCCTCATACATTTCATTTAAATGCTACTGTTGATCTTGTCCCTCTGGAATGAGTCATTTTTTTGAGCCATGAAACTAATCTCACACCATTATAATTTTCCCAAATTTCTATGGAAAGAAAAATTGTGGCAGAAAACTAGAGAGTGGTAAACGTAGTAAATGGAGAGGTTCAGTTGTTGGTAAACTATTGTCTGGAGCAATCAGCCAGATTCGGCTGATGGAGTAGGAGGCATAGGTGAGAAGGCGGAACAAGACTGCTGCAGTTTTGCACACATTCTGCTAAACAAAGTTAAGGCTGATGATCCAAGATCTGATGTCTAGTAGGTCAATAGTTGAACTGGGGTCATTGGCATACATGTGGAAGGTGAGCACCTCACGCCCCCCACCCCTCTATTTGGTATACTAGCCAACATCCCCCAGGTAAAATCAGTCATTCACTTTGTGGTTGTTTATGGGATATCGCTTTATGCAAATTGTATGCCACATTCACCTACATATACACAAAAATATCCTGTGAAGCGTTTTGTGACCTCTTGACAATGTGATAAGGTCTATTTCAAACACAAGCATTGTTATTATTCTTATCCTTACAATAAATCATGCCATCAAATGGGAAGCATATAGTAGATAATAGGAAAGGACCAAGGAATGAGACCCGAGTTGCCAGTAGATGATCACTGTTGAGGAAATACACCATACTGAAAATATACATTACATTAGAGTACATTAGAATATACAGCACAGAAACAGGCCATTCGGCCCAACTGGTTTATGCCGGTGTTTATGCTCCACATGAGCCTCCTCCTGCCCCTCCTCAACTAAGCCTTCAAGCATAACCTTCTATTCCTTTCTCTCTCATGTACCTATCTAGCTTTCCCTTAAATATATCTTTGCTATTTACCTCAACAACTCCTTGTGGTAGCAAGTTCCACATTCCCACCACTCTCTGTGTGAAGAAATTTCTTCTAACTTCCCTATTTGATCTATTTGTGAATATCTTATATTGATGGCTCCTGCTTTTGGTCTCCCCCACAAGTGGAAACATCTTCCCTATGTCTACCCTATCAAAACCTTTCATAATTTTAAAGACCTGCCTCATGGTTTTGAGGGTTAATGATACTCCTATTTTACAATATAGGAGTAAAAACAAGAGAGTAGTCAGCAAAACCTTGAGGCATTATGTTCCTGAATACAAATGACAACATTGCAAGAGTGAGAAGGGAACCAATCAAATCTTTTTCTAAAATGTTTCTAAATGTACATACCCAGCCAAGATACTGAACAAAACATGAGGTATTTATATTTCTGACATTTTTTTTTGTCACTGTTCGCTTTGGTTTTATGCTTCCATTCTCTCTTCTCACACTACTTTGTGCTATTCTTTTGTTACTCTTCTCTCCCTTGAAGTTTAACTATTTCTCTCTTCCTTTATCTCTCTCTCTGATGTTGCTCTATTACTCTCTCTCTCTCTGATACTCCTCTATTTTTCTATCTCTAACATTTCTCTATTTTATTTCTCTCTCTCTGATTTTCCTCTATTCTTTTTCTCTCTCTGATGTTTCTTTTTCTGTCATTCCTCTATTTCCCTCTCTTTGATTTTCTTCTACTCTCTATCTGACATTTCTCTTAATCTATATTTTCTTAATTTCTCTTTCTCTGGCTATTTAACTTTCTTCTGTTGTTCATTTTCGTGTCCCATTTAGGTCAGAATACATTGTAAAGTTTACACTGATGTAAAGTGAGAAAAGATTAGTTAATTGAACTATTTAACACCTACATCTGTTCTGCATGAATTGATCAGCAGTGAGCGTCATTACCTGCAGTGAAAATCTCTTCTCCGCTGTTTTTCTCTCTCATTAGCTGCCATTGGGCTGGCAATCTGGGGACTGCACAATGCTTAAGTCACAGGCAGAAGGGCAAGGCTCAAAACCTGCCATCAGTTAGAAATATCCCCATAGCTGAATACAGACACCAAATACTGAAGGATCCACTCAATGAGTGTCCACCATCTTTCATTCATTTCTGCACCCTCTGGAACCAATAGTCAATCAAAATAAAGTCACCAGGTAGATAAAAGGAGGGTTTACTTGACTTCCCAGCCACCTACAGTGATTCCCAGACAAAGCCTAGGAGCAAAGTCACCCGATATACAAGCACTGGTCCGGGTCACCACGACTGTCCAAGGGATTGCTAATGACAGACCAACCAGCCTGGGTGGTTAGCAGGAGATGAAGAGGCAGACCGGCACACTCACACTCAGCTCCCATTAACCCTGCAAGCCAAAGCCCTAAGGGGTAGGATAGTCCTAGCTGGAGAATGAACACTTGATGGAGAAACTGTTAGCTGGGTTATTGAGTAAAGGATGTTCGGGTTCATAAATCTTTAAAATGTTATGCATAGGTGCAGGAGGTAATCAAAATAGCTAACACAATGTTGACATTTATCACAAGGATGTTAGAAATAGAGAAGTCAAGAAGTGATGTTAAAGTTGTATAAAACAATGGTTTGAAGTACTCTGTGCAATTTGGGCACAAAACCTTAAGAAACATATATTCGTGTTAGAAAGGATGCAGTGTCGATTTACTAGAATAATTTCTGGTGAAGGGCCTAAATTATGATGAAAGGATGGAAAAACTTGGGATTGTATTCTCTCGAGTTCAGGCGGTTGAAGTGTGATCTGATCGAGGTATATAAAATTATAAAGGGCTTTGACAAGCTGAACAGTGTTCTCTGTTTCCTCTGGCAAGAGAATTGAGGACTGGAGGCTTTTTTTTTTTATTTTTTAGCTTAACTGCTATGTCGGTGTCTCACATATGTACTCGGCAAAAAACCCACCCAATAGCACCCAGCACAAATAGTGAATGTTATCCCACCTGTACAACTTCATCATCCTCTTCCAAGAGCCCCTCAAGAATCTCAACAGCAACCTGTGAGCAGATACAAAAGAATATTCATTAGCACAATACAAATTTACTTTTATGTGCAGTAGTGCCTTTCACATTAGAAGGATGTCCCAAGGTGTTGGCCAGTCCAGGGTTTGCACCTGAGCTGGGGGTGTGGGCCAAGGAGGTGAAAAACACAGATAATGTTGACGACATAAAGATACAAACTTGTGATTGGAAAAATGCAACAAGAAAGTGGGAAGGTAAATGGCCCGCACTGAACAATAAGCCTCAGAAACGTCTAGAAAGCACAGCTCCTCCAGGCAATCCCACGTTCACTCAAATCCAACCCCAGATCGCCTTAAAAGTCAGTCTGATGGTTACTTGTCGAAGGTGCATTTTAAGCCTAAATCGCTTTTTCTGAAGCAAGGCACCATTACCATTTAAACGCTCCGGGACGCTACCCCACGTGAAGGGTGCTATATAAATGCAAGTTGTTGTTGTTGTATTATGGTACTCTTTTCCCAAAAAGCACTCTTTCTACCCAGTGAGGCTCAGTAGAATCACCAGCTCACTCCAACAGCAAGAGAAGACACCTGTTCACAATCAGGGGCCATGCTTTCAGCCATTATGCCCTGAAACTTTGGAACTCTTCCTCAATCCCTCCATCTTGCCCCCTCCTTCCCCTCTTTTAGATCACGACTGAAGACCTTTCTCTTCCACCATGCTTATGGTCACCTCCTCCTTCCTTCCAGTTTGGCATCAGGCTCCGTCACTGTTAAGTGCTCCAAAACGCACGAAGGGAGCAACGTAAATTCAAGTTGTTGTTGTTGTATCAATTTTACTCTAGTTTTCTGGAGCAGAGCTGTCCACATCTTCACAACCCTATACGTGAAGAAATGCTTCCTGATCTCAGCTCAGCTCTAACCTCAGCTCATGACTTGACACTCTTCGATCTCTTCAACCTCCTCTTTCCTCATAGCAGTGTCCGCTGCCTCTGCTCTAATGGCTCCGGCCTCCTTGTCCCTCGAATCCTCCGCTCCACCATTGGCGGCCATGCCTTCAGCCACTATGCCCCGAAGCTATGGAACTGCCACCTTCAATCCCTTTGCTTGACCCCTTTCCTCATTTTCAGGTTGCGACTGAAGACCTTCCTTTCCGACCGTGTCTATGGTCACCTTCCCCCTCCCCCTGGCTCACCATCGGGCTCCACCATTGTTAAGCGCTCTGGGATGCTGCCTGATGAGGAGGGTGCTATATAAATGCAAGTTGATGTAGCTCTAAGGTCTGATTTTACGGCTATGCACTGGTTAGTAATGCAAAGCGAGAGAAGCTGTCCCTCTACTCTGTGGTATATGGAGCAGTGAGAGGTCATCCCTCTCCTCACATCTCGATAATAGTTTTCTTGCCTGGAGTATTGGGTGCACGTTGACAAGAGCCAAGGCTTAGGGACCCAGAATCCTGGTAACACATGACTTGTTCAATATGACGTTTTAAGATACGAGTACAATATTTTGCAAATTTGAACTGATGGCAATAGGACTTAAACACAGTTATGTTCTTGAATTCTTCATCTAACAAACGCCTGCCAGTAACCTCTGCTACTCACTGCTTACATTATTCATGACCAAAGTCTATTAAAGGATAGAAATTATTTAGTAAATAGATTTGCCCAGTGAGAAAGATTTATCCTCCTCCACCTGCCGCGCTTTGCGTAAAATTGTTTTTAAAACTGGCTTCCATCCCCAAATGCTTGAAAATAATATATTGTGTGTAAATATGGCAAAACAGCTGTTCCATAAGGAACAGTTAAATTGCCTTCAACAGAGGCAGTCAGGGCTGTCAGATTAGTTCAGTTTATAGGTTATAATCTGTCTATGTCTCTTGGAATTTAGCTAAAAGAAATGCAATTAGGTTCAGTAGGGCTCAAATCAAGTAGATTGTCTCATGCAGAAGATCAAGTGCAATGCGTGGAGTACTCTACCTAGTAATTTAAATGACTGACCATTCAATTTATGAGCATTCAAGGCAATAAAATCCAGTCTGAACTTAATAACAGCACATTTTATGTGACAAAGATGACAATTACAATCTACAGTTACTGCGGTCGCGTTGTGGACTGAAAGAAGATGACAGTATTAATTATATGCAGGTGTCATTTATCAGACTTAACTTGACAGCTAGCAGAGTCTTTATTCCTTTCACCAACTTGACTATTGCATTTAGAAATTTTTAATACGTTGAACTGAAGATAATTGGCAGAGAAGTGAACACTTTGCTTGCTTTCATCTTGTGCACAGTAATTTATGTCACAGAGTGTGCGCTGTGCAGAGTGTTGATACATTATCAGAATTAAATAATACTCACCAAAACATTCTTGGTAAAGACTATCCTGAATGTGAGGCACGTTAGGGGAGGGCCATGTGCCATGTGCAAGTGGATAAAAATTTCCAAGATAGCGAGGCATGGATCAGTAGTCACTCTAACTTAATACTGCTTCTATTTCATTCGCCAATCTTACACAATGTCGGGCAAACTTGGCTCAAATCTGCCTCTTCAATTCTCACTCACATGAAGCCTGAACAAGCACTCATCAGGAGAATGGCAGCATAAACACCTTCCACGGGAAAGATGCTTCAGGAGATAATAATATCATTATTTCCTGAAAATTTGCTGATTATAATAATAATTCTTGTATTTGATATAGCTCTTTATCATCTCAAAGCACTTCACAGGACTATAAAGTGTATTTTGTAGGCAAATGTGGCAGTCAATATGTGTACAGAGGTGTCTCACAAACAGGTGAATGACTAATTTTACCAGTTGGCTTATTGGCCAGGATACCAGAGGAATTCCCTTCTCATTTCAAATAGTACCACAGGATCTTTAACGTCCAACTGAACAGGCAGATGAGATCTCAGTTTAATGTCTCACCTGAAGGAAGATACCTCCAATAATGTAGTACATCCCAGCACTGCAATGGAGTGTCAGCCTAGACTATATGAGTTCAAAGTCTCGACATTGGGCTTGTTATTATTGTTCCTGCCTTTCATTTGTTTTTGAAATGTCCAGAGAATAACTGATGTTCCTGAAAAAGACATTAGAAGATTGTAACACATTCCTGGGAGTCAGATGACATTGTAACCTGTGTGATCATAGATTTTCAAAGTAAGCTGGGTATCAGAGAGAGGTTTAAGAGGTTCACGTGGAGCATAAACACCAGCATGGACTAGTTGGGCAAAATAGCCTGTTTCTGTGCTATAACGTTCTATGCAATTCTATGAAGTCCCAGGGTGTACTGTAATCTTAATCAGCACCTTGGACAAGATGAATAAATTTAACATTGTATTTTAAAAGACAAGGGAGTTAACATGCTTACTTATCACTTCTAATTGCTACCTTGATGCGTGCCAAGTTTTATTGTGCAGCTTCATATTGCTTGACAGTACAAAGAGGTACCTTCCAAAAGCAAGACGTTAGACCAGGATTATGAAACAGAGAATTTTTTGGGGGTAAGAAATAACACATGCTGCTCTACAGTGGTACAACTGCCTTTGTATTCCATGCAGACGGCCAGTAATTTGCTAACTTGATCTGTAGTATAGATAGCATCAAAGAACATACTCCCCCCATCCCACACTTTCGATAGCTTGTAGTGTACAGTGCAAACATCCTACTGTGACTTTGGTCATTTCACTGCCTCTGGCACTGAACATTACTGTGAGATCAACAGTGTTCATATTCAGATCGGCCATAACTCTTGAGTTTACTGATTTCAGAACAATTATGAATCACTTTGTCAAGGTCTTTTAAGTGTAAAGGTCTCTGGATTGCACTTGATTTGATGCTTACAGCTGCCCTTGTAAAATCATTGCAGTGGTCTGATGGTGCACATGGCTGAATCGAGTCAGGGTCATAACTAAGTCAAGAAATGTCTAGGCTTGACAAATTCCCTCTAGTTACTCCAGGATTTCCATAAACATGTCTGGAGATACGAGGGGATAATGCTAGCTTTCGAACCAGAACTCCAGTCAGGTTTCAAATTACAATTCCGATAATGCAATCTGCTGAATCATTCATAGTTTGTTTTGTAAGATACAGACCTGTGAGCAGAAAAATAAAAATCCTCAGCCAAGCGATCTTTTAATCTCAATCTAATGATCTTTTTTCCCATCAATTATGGGTTTCCCCAGGGCTCTGTTCACTCACCCACTTTGCTCCTTTGCTACATCAACGCCCTTCTCTTCTCACTATACAACCAGCCACTCTTTCGCTGATAATTCCACTTTACATTCAGTGGCTTCCTTCAGACAGCGTATCTGTTCTCAATGCTCACAACCATCAAACCCTTCACAGCCCAATGCCCGATTTGCTAGACTTTGATCTCCTCCATGCGTTTTGATGGGGCAATGATAACCTTACTTTCTTACAATTCCTCAAAGGTAGAGTTTATTCACGCTTCTCACAAGCCTAAGCAAAAGTTACCACATCTGTCATCTGTGATGGCTCCACTCTTAATCCTTCTTCATCTACTGATACTCTCGGCCTCCCTATCCACGCTGATCTCCAATGAGATTCTCACAACTGCTTCATTGTTTGAATCAAATCTCTAAGACTTTCTCTTTCCTCTTTTATGCCAAATATTTACTTTCCTCTAAACAATTCTTAACTCACTCTGGGAAGTCTAAGTTCCTCCAAGTCCCACCTGCTGCTCCTACATCTGGGGAGGCTATTCCGGGATTTCCTTGGCATTCCTGAATAGAATACAAGAAAAGGCTTTTGTGGAGTCATATAATGTTACAGGACAGAGACAGGTCAATTGGGTTGTCAACTCTGCACTGGTGTTTATTCTCCACATGAACCACCTAATTTAACTCTATCCTATTTTACCACACTGCCACCTCCTCCTGTTTTGTCTGAGAGGTGATCCTTCCCTTCCTGTTTGATTGAAACCTGAATGTAGTTTACTAGATGTGGGGGTGGGTGGGGCATGGAGGGAGTGAACAGACAGAATGAAAGAAGGAGAATAATACTGGACCAGCAACATGCCCAATTTACGTTAACACTCAGGGAATAAACTCTGTATTTACAATCATGAATTATATACTTTTATAACATCTTAATCTGTGTATTGATTGATTTTAATAATAATAATCCTTAATAATCCTTGCATTTGATATAGCGCTTTTCACGTCAGGAGGACGTCCCAAAGCGCTTCACAGAACAGAGAACACACTGTAAAGTGAATTGACTGTATATTTGTGGGCGAACGCGGCAGCCAATTGCGCACAGCAATGTCCCACAAACAGTCGTAGATTGAAAATGACCAATTTAATTATTGATTTTGGTTTTTTGGAGGGATTATTATTAGGCGTGTGGAGTAAGGAAACTTGCCCAAGGTTTCGCCCTGCCTGGAATTGAACTCAGGTCTCTCACTTGCAAAGCGAGTGCTCTAACCACTGAGCTACAGGACTCCACAAATTTTAATTTTGGAACCTGTCACATCAGAGAATTGCAATCTGCAATCTGAGAATTGCAATTGCAATCTGCAATTTAGTTAGTCTAGTATTCTTTCCACTTTATAAACATATCCAATAAAGTGTTGGAAGGGCTGCATTGCCAGAGATGCAGTCCATTGATAAGATGTTAAACTGAGGTCCCATCTATCAGTTTGAAGGTGGATGTTAAAGATTTCAAGGAACTATTCAAAAAGAGTTTCTCCCGGTGTCCTGGTCAACAAGCCCTATACAAAAAAAACGGTGCTTCACTTCACAACTTTTGTGAAAGTTTGTGTGCAATTTGGCTGCCACATTCACCTACAAAATATACAATCACTACAGTTTATAGCAATTGAGTCTTCGAGATTTTTTGATGGTTTAGCTGCTACATCAAATACCAAGAATTATTATTATTATAAGGCATTCTGAGAAAGGCCGGCACTGAGCACTGGTGACAGACTCACATGTATAGCAATTTGTTCATTCCTCAACAAATAACTGTACTAGGTTTCATTCCCAATTTTTGCTTAGTTAACTGATCTCATATGGGATGCCAGTAAAGGTCCCTTTGCCTCGCCCTAAACCTAACCCTAACCTACTTCAAGGCTCGTCTCAAGACCTTCTTCTAAGGCCGTGCCTTCGGTCATCTTCCCTCCTCCGCCCCCATTGCCCTCCACCCTTCTTGACTCTAACCCCCAGCTCAGGTGCAAACCCTTCACAGTTCAGCACCTTGGGACGTTGTCCTGACGTAAACGCGCTCTGTAAATGCAATTTATTGTTGGTGTTGCTACAATAGGTCTCAGCATCCTTGGGCAAGGGAAAGAAAAATAAAAACCGACTTGCTTATGAGGCACACCGTCACAGTATGGGCTTAAAACTGCTTATACATGGAATAAGTGTTTAAATAGCAATTATTAATAAATAATTCAAACTGAGGCTCTTCAAAAAGTGCCTCAAAGTTTGTAAAGTTCTTAGGGAACCGAAGCAAATGTCGTCAGAACTAATAGAGAAACAATAATAAATTGTTCGCTTCAATCTATGGCCGTTTGTGGGACACTGCTGTGTGCAATTGACTGCCACATTTCGCCCATTAATATACAGTCAATTCACGTGCGTGAATTGTGAATCGCTTCGAGACGTCTAGAAGACGTGAAAAACTCTATATCAAATGCAAGGATTATTATTATTAATGTTGTATTAGTGAATACTTACTGAAAAAAAACACGGATAAAGAAATATGTGTTATCTGGCCAAGTAGGAGCATTTATCTTCAATATTGATTTTTAAGCATCTATCATTTTCTTTCAGTAGGACGCACGATGAGAGTAGAGCAAAAGAACAATTTCAAGAAAGACACCAGGAAGTTTATCTTCAGCCAGAGGGTCATCAACAACTGGAACAGGAAAGGTGGTCTACGCCTTAACACTGGACTCATTTAAAAGCAGGTTGACATTGTAATGGGAGGACAGTAGAGTGGGTATTCTGGAGGGATGAGATCAAATGGGCTGAAGGGCCTTCTTCATCCAAACTAATCTTGTGATCTCATAAATAAAATCGTCTGAGTTTAAGCCCACCAGTGGAGGGGAGAATGGTTGGGGAAGTTCCTAAACTGTACCAACAACCCTGGCAATGTAATACATGCTATAATTATAGGTAGGTCCAGAGGGAACTAAAAGAAAGACAGATTATCAGGGTGCCAAGAGCTCAGAATCAATCCAAGGACTGATAAATGAGCCACGTGTTTCTCATAGTTTAATCCACAGGTGCCACGATTCCTGGTTCAGGAATTGATGGTTCACTCTGCATCTGAACTTCTGGATGCAAGTGTTCCAGAGAACAACACAAAGTGGGGGTGAGAGGTCCACACAGTGTGCCTGCCATTGGGATTACTGGTGCAGAATGGTGAGGTATGGCTCAAATGCCTCTCATGTTCCTGCCTTAAACTTGGACATCTGCCGAAAGCAACTGCAACTCTTGAACTGGTATTTCAGTCAAAATCTTGCAGAGGGGCTGACAACCTGGTCTCATCACTAAAGTTGCTCCAGGCCACAGGTGGGTAATAGTCTTCCCAAAGATTTTCACTCTTCAACCACATTTTCTTGTCATGTTGAAGGGATCAGAGAGACACTAAACTGATACTGCGTCTGCCTGTTCTATAAAATAATAAAATAAAATAATAAAATTAGATAGGATAAAATAAATCCTAATTGCCAGGAGCATGTGCAACCCTAGTATTCCCCAAGAAAATCCCCCAAGGACTTGTGTAAAATGATGCGTTAGGTTTGTGTGATCACCTGTAGTGGAGTCCTGTAGCTCAGTGGTTAGAGCACTCGCTTTGCAAGTGAGAGACCTGAGTTCAATTCCAGGCAGGGCGAAACCTTGGGCAAGTTTCCTTACTCCACACGCCTAATAATAATCCCTCCAAAAAACCAAAAACAATAATTAAATTGGTCATTTTCCATCTACGACTGTTTGTGGGACATTGCTGTGCGCAATTGGCTGCCGCGTTCGCCCACAAATATACAGTCAATTCACTTTACAGTGTGTTCTGTGAAGCGCTTTGGGACGTCCTCCCGACGTGAAAAGCGCTATATCAAATGCAAGGATTATTATTATTATTATTATTATTATTATTATTATTATCACCTATGTAGATATCTTCAAATAAGTTTCATGTTACTCTATGTTCAATGACCCATTCATTAACAGTGTGCAATAGATTTACACAGGAGTTCTGCAGATAACATGGATGTATTTCTACCTTTTTCTTCCTCCAAAGCAGTTTTAGGCATTTTGCAACCAGACACTATATGTCTTCATTTCCTCGAAACAAAGTATTATTTGCATTGAAATATCTCACATACCTTTTCTCATACATAGATTGAAAGACACCTGGGTGCCTAAAACATAAGAAACCCATCGGTGTGCTTATTAGTATCCAAACCAGATTGAGTGCCGCACACTGTCATCATTTGATGGCCTGGGTCCATAAATTCAGACCCTGTGTTAAACGTCTGCCTTCCAGGTTGTTAAATCATCGTCAATATCACTTCATATGTATTGTCATTCAGAACTCTGCAGCTCGTGTACGTCATTCAGAACTCTGCAGCTCGTGTACTGTCCCGCACCAGGCTTCGGGACCACATCACTCCCACCCTCGCTCGCCTCCACTGGCTCCCCATCCCCCAGAGGATTGATTTCAAGATCCTCATCCTCACCTACAAGGCCATTCACGGCCTCGCTCCCTCCTACCTCTCCAACCTACTATCCCCCTACCTACCTGCCCGTACCCTCCGTTCCTCCGGCTCCGGTCTGCTCCACGTCCCCCCGCCCCAATCGCCCTACCATCGGTGGCCGGGCCATCAGCCTCTCAGCCCCGAGGCTCTGGAACTTTATCCCCCAGTGCCTTCGCCGCCTTCTCCCTCTCCTCCTTCAAGGCCGGTCTCAAAACCTTTCTCTTTGACCGAGCCTTTAGCTCCCCTCTCGACTCTCTTCCCCCTTCTCGCTCCCTACCATCCCTCCCCTCACCCTGACCATTTCCCCCCTCCTCGCTCCCTCCCCTCCCCTCACCCTGACCACTACCCCCCTGCTCGGGTCATGACCCAACTGTGCAGCGCCTTGGGACGTCCTCCTGACGTGAAAGGCGCTTTATAAATGGAATCTTGTTGTTGTTGTTGTTGCACACAATGTAACTATACACAGGAAGTTTCACTGCATGTGCAGCACACAAGATCAAGGTGTGCCTTATAAAGGGAAATTTCCATTTGTCTGGAATGATGTGCACCCTCTGTCTATGGAGGGATGCACCTGCTTGCTTAATCTGCACAAAAATAGCGCAGCCTGGCAAAAGCCAAGTCTTGCTGACCCTAGAGTATGGATTGGCGTTAGTTCTAGAGTTTAATTAGCTAGAGCAGTGCAGCTTGGCATTGGGAATGCTGCCTGGCAAGCTTCTCGTCGCTTGAGTAAACGTGAGCAGAGGGGGAAGAATCGCTGCCCAGTGCCTAGTCTGCCCAAGCCATAGATGTGGGTAATAATATAATTACACCAATTGTCCTACGTAGCACTTGTCCCCGTTTTGTGTTTTGCTTTGATTTTCTCCTTCCCTGTTGGCAATCAGTTGAGAAACAAGTAAACAAATGCCTCAAGGAGAAATATTGTGAGCACAGAGCAGGGATTGAAAGAGCTTGAACAAATACAGAGTTGATTTTGAAGGCAGGGAAAGAGATAGCAAGTCAATGTCATAGGCTGGAATGTAC